TTAATAAAAAAAAAACCTAGCTAAAAGAAAAAAATAAATAAATTTAAAAAAAAAAAAACCTAGCTAAAAGAAAAAAATAAATAAATTTAAAAAAAACCAAACAAAAAAACCCAAAAAAACCCCAAAAAAAACAAAAAAAAAAAGAAAAAAAAAAAAAACACAAAAAAAAAAAACAAAACCAATTCCACTGTCAACTCACATTTAAAAAGAGACATTAAAGCAAAAGTAAAGCACAGAAGGGCAAACTGACTTGACCAAGGTCACTCATATAGCAGGTGAGTGCACTGAGATATCCAAGTATATGTTTTCCATAATGATCTCACAGCCAGATCCCCCAAAGTAAATAAAGACAAACAACAGCAAGGACTAAGAGAACGTTTTTTACCACTGTGTTTAACAGTTTAGTTTGAGCCAAGCAAATATCAGGACCAGATTAGTCAGTCCCCGTCAGATCCTGGTCATTTCCAAGGCAGTGATTCCAGAGATCAAAGGCTGCCACTCTCAGGATTTGAAGGTGCCCATGTGCTGGACAGGCCCGAAGCCTGAGGTCAAGGGCAAGTGCTTCCAAAGCACATCACATCCCTACATCATCAAGCCTTATTGTTATTTCTGATTAAGAATAATTCCAGTGTGATTACCCTCAACTATAATTACTAATGAAGACAGAACTGTGCATTCAGAAATCTGAAAGCATGCCAGTTCACAGCAGCTTAATGCAAGGCCCTATTTACAAAAGAAAATTCTTGAGGGAGTATTTCATTTTTTTTTGCTGCTTCACTGAACTGTAGATTAATGTTGCTTTCCAAAGCACCTTAAGCCAATAAAAAGCCTAAACATTTTGATGGCTTCTTTATTTATCTACCAATGTTAAAAAATGTGAACCCAAAATATCGCAGGGCAATAAACACTGTTTAAGGGCATCAGAAGCCAGTGAGTGTGAACAAAAAGACATAAAGACAATCACATGTTTTGTCTCTCCCTAAAGCCATTTGTGAGTGCAACATATTCCAGGGCAATGGATTCAACAGAGAGCTGTAAACTGCAATTATACAGCATACAAATAAAGAGGTGAGTTAAGGAAAAAACTTCCAAAGGTTTTGGCAAGTGGATTTTCACTCAAACACTACTCAGAAATATCTCATTATAGAATAAGAAAGGGAAATCACTGACTGAAGGACCAGCTCCCAGGAATCAAGCCCTCAAGTTTAATAAATAGTGGGACAAAGAACTCCTTGGACACTCATCAACAAGACACAAGACACCTAGTTTTCTGGAATATACATTAAAGTAAACTAATGCACAAGTAACCACAGAAAGGATAATGAAAGCCTGTATCCACAGTGGCAAAAAGAACAGAACCTGAGCCCCACCAGCACTATGGAGAAGCAGATGATTTAAAACCAGTTTTTAAAGAAGACAATTCCAATACTGGACAAACTACACCAGTACAGGTCCCACACAGGGCAGAGCCTGCTCAGGAACAGAGGTCAAGCACTTGAGAGTTGAACTTGATGATTCTTGTGGGTCCCTTCTGACTCAGAACATTCTGTGATTCTATGATGTCTCCCTAAACCTATGTTTGGCTCTTAAACTGTGTGAAAATGGAAAATACCACCATTTAATAACCAGAGAAGCTCATTATCACAGCTCCCACAGGGAAGTTGTTATCACTCAGAAACTGTTTCAGTTTTTTTCCTGTGATATTCCAAATAATTTTCCACAACCAAACCTTTACTTCAGAAAAAGTAAGGCAGGTTGCCTGGCTTACTTAGGCTCGTACAGCCAATGAAAATATAGGATCCCAGGTTCCTAATCCCTTGGCAATTCATTGGTTCAAAAGGATGCTATATAGCTAAAATACAGATTAAGTATTGCTTGGATGCTTTCTTTCCTTTTCTTTAAAGAAGTAACAGATCACACACCTCCCATAGTTAAACAGAGTGTATTTTGTAGCATCAGTGGCTGCTTTTGGTATAGAAAAGTGCTGAGTGCAGAAACGTTTCTCTGTAAATGAATAAAAGCAAATTTCAAATTAACTTGGAAATAAACTCACGATGGAAACTGTCACCCCAACTGTGTTTGCTCCACCTCTCACCCTCAGTCCACATTTTTCAGCTCCTGCGCATTGAGTGCATCCCAGCCCTGGACGCTTTCCTGCCCTGGTCCCTGCACGTCCCTTGAACAAAGCAAGCATGAGCTCCAGCTGCTTAAACACCACTTCTGACACAGGAGGGCCTTGAAAAACAGCTGGAAGATGAAAGATTGAAAGGATGGCCATATGCTCGCCCTTATTATTGTACTTTTCCCTCAGCACTTTGCCCTTTACCTGCGCAGGAGCACTGGGATGTTTACTCTGCTATTGCCAGGTTATGTTTCTTAGATCCACAGGCCAGATGAAATAAGCTGAGCTCAGATTGCTGCCTTCCCCTTGCAGATGCTATTTTTAGATTTATTTTTCCTCTGTCTTTCACAAAATTCTCCAGGAACTTATCCTGCTATTTGTTACCACCATACCATTAAGGAGAGTTTAAACCAGTCTAAACCATGGGGAAGTGGTATGACCATCAAATTGCCTTTTTCTTTAAAAAAGAAAAAAATTCTAAAAGAACGTTATAAAAGGCTGGAATTAACAAGAATTTCAACTCCCAGAGCTCACTTCGTCTGGAAGGTGTTCTCTGGTGAGTGCAAACTGACACAGCAGGGGAAAAAAGCAAGAGCAGTGACAGACTCGTGTTTTTTGTAGCCTTGTGGTTGTTAAACATCACATGAAATTAATTTAATTAACATGTGTGTCTAAATTTATTATAAAGTTGATAGGAAAGGGCTGAAACTTGATATGAAAGGGTTTAAATTATCATCGATGGGGACACACATTGCACAGGGGATCTTCATTAAACCCACGTGCTATTATAAGATACACAAAACACTCGCCCACTACAAAGAATCATGTTTTAAAGTCTTCAACTTAATTATGGCTATGTGCAATTTTGTTGATCCTGCAAAGTAACAAACCCGCCTGTCTCGTTTCACATTGGTAAATATGGAACATAGTGATCTCTACAGACACAAAAAGCTGCTCTAAAAGATCTGTTCCAAGTTAAGTCCATATATTGTATGTAGCCCTAAAACTAAGATTAAATTTTGGTAGGGAAACTACAATAAAGGACATGGAGGGATAAAGTTCTTTCCCTGACCTGTGAGATTTTGTTTTTTTTCATGTGAACACAGGTTAGAGTCTCGCAGGATTGGAAATTTGGACTAATCAGAGTAGTTAAGAGTTCTCTTCTCTTTAAAATACAGCTGGGACACACATCAAATACCTTGTCCAAGGCCAACAAGGCCAGGTCTCAGAGCAAAGTTTCAAATTCAAGGGTCACTGGCTCCTAGTCATGATAAGAACAATCTATTTTTATATAAACAGTCATTTGCACAATACCAGCCCTGTCACCTGCAGGGAGAAGCCCTCCAGGCTGCTATTGTCAGGCGAGTTCAAAACCTACCTGTGGGAATATCTGGAATACAGAGTTGGCATTGTTTAGGCTGAGTAAGGCCATTAACCAGACTGTGAGAAAAGTTTGCTGTTACAGTAACAGTCACTGCTAGAAAGAGGTACTTAATTATTAACTCTGAAGAAAAACTATTCAGGAAAGAGATTTCTGTCTGTGTAGAACCTGCCAGGAGCTCCTAAAACTGTGGCTTTGCTAAGGATTATATATATCAGCTCAAGAACCAGCTCAACAAGTTATTAAATTAA